TTATCTACAAGGCTCTGCATCATTTGGCCCCTATGTACTTGTCTGAACATTTAACCCTTTATATTCCAAAACACATCATTCACTCTTCTGATTCTGGTTTGTTAACTGTTCCACTTCTCATTTACGCTCTGTGGGTGACAGGGTCGTCTCTTCTTTTGCTCCAAAACTATGGAACTCTTTTTAGAATTGTTTTTCTGTGCTTATTATGTGATTTTTATTGTTTTTTTTTCTTCTTTTATATTTCATTTTATTTTTATTTCTTCTCTTTTACAGCACTTTGAGATGCAACTGTTTAAAGGTGCTGTAGAAAATAAAGTATTATTATTATTATTATTATTATTATTATTATTTAAAAAATAAATTAAATTCACAAAGTAAAACATCAAATAATGTGTTTTCAGTATAGTAGAGAGTGAATTTAAATTTTATTATTATTATTATTTTTTTTTTGCATTGTCCTGACATTTTCGTTATTGGGGTTATAGTGTAATTATTTTAAGTTGTGAAGTTTATGTACTATAAACCTTCAATAGTTCAGTTACTTGGAAACCTCCCCTCCCAGAAATGCAAATGCGAAGGGATTTGATATTCCGTTTGTCCTCTATACAATTGAGTAATAAGTGAACCGTTAAAGCCCCTGGAGTCTAGGCATGTTTTTCCACAGAAGCACATTACACACACACACTCCAGGACACATCTGATTACACAGTCACAGTCATACTCAAGCGCTTTATTCTAATGGGAACTAGCACTGGAGAAAATGAAGTAATTTACTTTTACTCTCAGACAGGTGACTCCAGCTCCTGCGTTAATTGACCTGAAATGCACCTCAGAATGTGGCTTCTTTATTCCACTCCCTGCAATCACAGGATGAGGGAAAGCTCATGATGGACGAAGCAGTGTTGGTCTATGTTTTGGAAACCTGATTTTATAAATAGTGTTTTCTGGGTCCCGTGGGGGAGTATGAGGCGAATCTGTATTTTATCCAGCTAACGGTCTTTCAGAATGGAAATCTAGTTCTGTTCTGCAACTTTAATTACAAAGATAAAGTCAGAAGATGTATGTCTTGGGGGAGATTTAAGTGATGGAAGTTCTGTTTGTCTCACTATATTTATGATAAGCACTAAATTCACACTGACATGTTGCTAGTGTGGCCTCATTAACTTTGTTAGACTGTGAGCTGAATGGACTTGCTGCAGGCAGTAAACGTGATATTAATCTTTAATCAAGGGAGGAAAAGACAAGTTTTAAAAATCTCTTTTTAAAGCTGTTTTCAAAGTTTTGACCGTAGGCCAAAAGTCTCCAGCCAAACTAAAGCAATATCTAAGACTTAACAGCTTAGTGTTAAATTGGAGGCTGTGTATTTGCCTGTGGCGATGATGATGATGATGATGAATCCTACAGGATGAAGCTTCTAGGATGATGTGGTGTTAAGCTCTGGAAAGTGCTGTGCGTAAAAATAGTTTGTGAAGGAGTCATTCATTTTGAACAGTTCTTTTAAATGAATCATTTCAATCATTTTACATGCATGTGTTTGGGATTTCCCCCTTGCCCCGAATACAAAAGCGTGCAGTGTGCGTAGCGCTCGCTTCACTCAGCGTGCATAACGCTTGTTTCACTCAGCGTGCGCTTCCGTATTCTTATGTTTTAAGGACAAATTCTTGTCCTTGTTTTCATTCAAGTTTTGTCTCTGCCCCTGTATTGGTTGTTATCCCATTGTGTCATCATTATCAGCTGTTTCTGTTTCCCCTTTGATTAGTTTGTGTATTTAAAACCCCTCATGTGTCTTTGTATGTCACAAGTATTGTGTTTCATTGTTTTGCTGCCTGAGCCGAACAGAGCCATTTTTCACCTCTCTGTATATTGTGCTGATTATTTGACTTCTTTCCTTTTTTGATGTACATGGTGTGCTTCACCTAGTCTATAGTGTTTGCTGATGCCTGACCTTCACCTGTTTTTGGATCTTGATATTGATATTTGGATCTCCCTTACATGACAGCATGAACGATTTTTTTTTTAATGAACACACAAGCACAGTCATATTAGCTGAAACTTGTTTTCTCTGGCAGTGTATAACATACATACACATATGTGTGTGTGTGTGTATATATATATATATATATATATATATATATATATATATATATATATATATATATATATATATATATATATATATATTATTTTTTTTTTTATACCATAATTTCGGACTATAAGCCGCTACTTTTTTTTATAACACCGAAACACCAGCCTTAAACAATGATGCGGCTAATTTATGGATTTTACGGGGCTACCGAAGTTTCATGCCGCCACAAACATTTAACCTCGTCACATTGGACCAATGAAATGACCCAACAGGTCACAGTGGACCAATGAAACTCTTCAATTAAATCTAACGCGCTCACTACATTCTTCAGATCAGTCGTTTTGGCGCTATCGCACACCCCTCATCAGGGAAGAAAACACACGGAGAAATGCAGATTGGTGACGTCATGTCTCCGCCCCGTCTCGTCATGTGTTGTCGAGTCACGTGTGTTTTGGTATTGCCCGCAGCTGTTAGTAGTTTGGCTGGTGTGTATATATACCGGGAGCCATGACACACACAACGCGGGTCATTAGATATAGAGTTAGAATTAGATAGCGAATATAGTTTGAGTCTTTGTTCATGCCATGTGTCTTAGTTCTTGTTCATGTTTCATAGCCATGTCTGAGTTCATGTCGAGGCTAGTTAGCTTGCATATAGCCTATAGCTTAGCCTGTAGCCTAGTAGCATAGCATAGCTTATAGCCTAGTAGCGTAGCATAGCATATAGCTATGCGGATAGTATAGCTTAGAGTTGTATAGACTTAGTTTAGAATATAGATGTAGAAGTGGTTTATAGAGTATAGATATAGAGTCTTTGTTTCAGGTCATAGTTAATGTTTAGGTTAGTTGGTTTAGTTAGTTTAGTTCATCGAGTTGGTCATGGTTCTTGTTTCTCTCGAGTCTGCTCTCCTCTGTTTCAATAAAAGTTCTCGTCCTAACTGCACTTGCGTCCGTCCTGCTTCGTTTACTTCACGAATCGTGACAGTTACAACGTGGACACCTGCGGCTTATAGACAAGTGCGGCCTGTATATGTCCAAAATTGTTTTTCTTCTTAAAATTAGCGGGTGCGGCTTATATTCAGGTGCGCTCAATAGTCCGAGAATTATGGTATATACACACACACAATATCTCACATTTTAGTAAATATTTGATTATAACTTTTAATGTGACAACACTGAAGAAATGACACTTTGCTACAATGTAAAGTAGTGAGTGTACAGCTTGTGTAACAGTGTCAATTTGCTGTCCCCTGATACTGCTCTCAGGTCAGCTGCTCTTGCCCTCTCTGTAAAAGATCCTGAGTAAATGCCCATAAGATGTTTTATCAGGTTATTTGTATTGTTGGAATACAAATGAATGTTTTCATAGAGCACTGTCTGCAGTCTGATCTGCTTTGTTTACCATCGTACGTTATTATTTCACATGGTGTGTATTCATTTGCATGATTTAACTTGCACTAGGTTTACATGAGTGAATGGACATGGTACTGGATACATTGGGTATTGGCTGATACACAAGACTCTTATATCAGTATCACATTGAAAATGGAAAACAGTGGCATTAGTGCTTTCCTGTCTTGGATATATGGTATCTATATTCCCACAGAGATGCAGGAGCTATTATTATTCTGAGCACAGTTTACTTCTGATCCATCATCATAAGCGTTTCTTCATATAGCTCAGTAGTCTGGGGAAAATGAGCATGTGGTCAAGAGCCCTCATTCCTGTATTTATGAAGCTAAACAGATTTGAGTTACTCTTGTTTTTGCTCTTGCTCTATGTACAATGTGACCAATGGTATTACTGTTTAAATGTTTTTACACTGAACTAATTTGTATGCATTTGACCAAGTTATACTGCAGGTTTTTCCCCAGTCCTAATAGTAAATGAAAACTACTTCCTCTTATATCTTATATATTGTAGCATATCCTTAATATTCAGGTAGTGCTAGTTAATTTTACTATAGGATGTTTTATTTATTTATTTTTTTTCATAGATGTTCTACTAAATGCATTAAGACTGAGGACTGATTTACTAAAGGTTTGTGTGTGTGTAAAAACCACTGAGTGTATACACTCACTGAGCACTTTATGATGAACACTATATTAATAATGATGATGATCATGAGTCTTTATTGTATAATGTGCCTACATATACAGTATCTTACAAAAGTAAGTACACCTTTCACATTTGTGTAAATATGTAATGATATCTTTTCATGTAACAACACTGAAGAAATGACACTGTGCTACAATGTAAAGTAGTGAGTGTACAGCTTGTGTAACAGTGTCAATTTGCTTTTCCCTCAAAATAACTCAACACACAGACATTAATGTCTAAACCGCTGGCAACAAAAGTGAGTACACCCCTAAGTGAAAATCTAAGTGAATGTCTGTTGCGGTGCGTTCAGTTAAAATTGTTTATTGCTATTCGAATCAACACAATGGAGTTTCTTAAAAAAAAAAAAAAACACGACTGATGGAGTGATGAGGTTCAGGCCTTAAGTATTTATGAGGACGAAATACAGCAGGTACTGGACACGGCAACCCGTAATGAAAAAGTATACTTAAAAATATCAAGTGGGTTATGTGAGCTGGGCGTTGTTCATACAGGAAAACTCGTGCTCGTGCACATTCGACTCCGTCGTCATCTCAATAGCTGATAAAATCCGTTTGCTTAATTTAAGTCTAGCATTACGAGCATTCTGAATTCACTTTACTACCACGGTTTGTCTCTTTTCCAGTGTATTCTCAATTACCTCTTTAGCAAAGCAATACATAACAATCAACAGCAGCACAGCTTGAATCTCCTCCATGCTTGTTGTTGTTGCAGGGTTGTTATCAGATTGCAGAAAATAGACTGTCTGTTTTTAAAACACAAGTCTTTATCCAAAGATAAAAACAAAACAAAAAAGATTCTCTGACCAGGAATTGAACCGAGGCCACATCAGTGAGAGTGCAGAATCCTAACCATGAGACCACCAGTTTGGTGTTATTTTTAAGAGATTTGGGTTCCAGTCATAGTCTGAGCAAACATTTTACATTACATCATTAAAATCTGCTTACTTTGTGTCAGTAATCCCAGCCTGCCCCTCAATCAACCACAACCGGTTGTGCCGGCTGAGCCGAGCTGGCCAAGCTGAGCGAGGACCGCCAGGTCTGCTTCAAAACAGATAGCGGTGTCTGTGGTGATACAGACGTGGCGGTCCACGCTGAGTCCCCAGGAGGCGAGCGCATCCGTAAGTCCAGCTGCAATTGCCTCGCCCATGTGATCCTCAAGAAAGTAAATTGATTAGCGGCATAAGCTGACAAGCTTCCAGTCTTGGTCAATAAACTGGATTGTCAGGCTCAAGTAAGATTCTGTGGTTCAGTTTGACCAACGGTCAGCTGTGGTCGCAAAATGACACTGACCCTCCACCTTTTCTCTGACTTCACCATAAAAAATATTTCTGGCCAGGGAGCTCATATCTGCGGTCGATGACTAACATTATTTTCATGAAGCCCATGTTTTCCACCATATTAAACGGCATCATGTCCTTAGCCAAAAAGTTTGTAACACCCTTTCTAATGCCTTTATGACGTTTAGACTGTTTGTCATAAGACATGAATGCAGCCATCCGTGTTGGCTGCATGGGTTTCTCTTTTAACACAGCTGGTGATGGGGGTGGGATGGCAGCGATGTTTCAAGGACAGGTCGGCTTAATCTTTTATGGCGCCTCATCTTCTGACATTTTATCGGGTAGAACTGCTTCAGATGCTGGAACAGATTTGATTCCCGCTGCTAGTCAGCACCACTCTCTTTTGTAGCACACTGAAACCTAAAGTTTATCAGATCTTAGATAGCCAATCCAATTCCATACCACTGAATTAGTCTTTCCTCTCCTCAACCATTTTGTCTGCTGTCTCCTCACTTGTGGAAGCTCATTCAGTTGTATTTGTATTGCGGTCAGTTCCGCATTACTGCTTAACATACTACTGCTGAGCACTGGCTACGTGTCTGTGGTGTACGTCATCACGCATGTAGCCAGTTCTGTTCTGTTCTTTCTGCTAGGCTTGAATACAATGAACTGATGCATGCGCCCTGAACGTCAGTCAGTGACAAATGCTGTAATGTATGTCCCAATATCGGAAATGTGTTTACATTTATATTGCGATATATATTGATATTGAATTATTGTACAGGCTATGTTCTTTATGCATGTGTCAATAGTTGTGTGTGAGGTCTATTTGTAAGGAAAAGAGGGCATGGGTTTGAATGAGACATAGTGGTGATGTCTCTTTGTGGTCCTGTGCTTTAATTAATAAAAGGTCTTGGGGACAAATGAACACATCTTCTATCACCCTCTGCCAAAGGGTGTTGGACTCTGGAGAGAAAGTGAAGAGTGTTTCTTTGGGAATTTATGCCTGTAGCTGTGATAAATTGGTTTATACCAAATGTATAAACCAGATCTAGTACCTGTTACACATAGCTCCTGGCATGCACAACTGATTGGATTTCCTTTCTCTCTTCAATCATAAATCAGTGCATGTATTTGCATTACTGGGCCTACATGGGTCCACTGCATTGGATTTCCATAGGGGAGCCATTAGTTTTAACTTTGTTTTCCAGCTACTTTTTAAATAAAGTATTTTGTAAATAGAGAAATTGTTTATTTGATGGAGTAGAAGATTTCAAGCATCTTAAAATATGAAGAGTTAATAAATTAACACATATTTACTGTATATAGAATCCAGAGGTATCTGGATGGAACTTATGTTATAATTGTGGAAGTAGTAAAAAATAGTACACTGTATGTTTAGAAACACAGGAGTGTTATGGACAAGAGTCCTTCACCAGCTGTGCTTCTGAAACTGTAGGTCAGTGAAAGCAATAGCGATCAGAATTGGTTGATGTAATGGCTGTAGTCAAAACGTGACATTCGTTCCATGGGGTTCTGAGAGTGTAGATGAGCTCCTTGTCCTTAGTTGACAAGTGGTTGAGCTCCTCAATTCATTGCTCACATAACAACTAGCGATGCACACGGAGATACCATTAATATTATGTTCATCATTGCTCAACAAAATGATCAGCCAGTCTCCTCTTGGTTTCTCCAGTGTACAGCTGATTGCATCTCTTTAAGGAAAGACAATAAACAACTCCTGAGGAGTGATGAGTAATAAAAACTGATCCTTTAGGGTGTGTGGTGTTGGTGGTTATATTAAAAAGTTGCATATTGAATGTGTAGAAGGGTTGGACGTAGAATTGTCACAGTTTCTAACCTCATGCAATCACTGTAGAAATTGTTTATTGTCTTTAAACAATTTAGTGTGGCTAATTATAATAGTGATAGTAATAATGTGGTCTTTCTCTAGGCTGTCTGTACTTCCAAAGGCATAGATAAGCTTGGTTCCTTCCTTTCTATGGTTTATATTTGTGCACATGCGCAGATGTAGGAGTACAAAATATATCAAAAGATTAAGAGCTGAAGAACCCGACTGTTGGGCTAAAATGCAGGTGTTTTTATTGCTTTTCTGAAATCCGATAAGCTCCAAAATGACGAGATATAGTATGTTGTGTAAGCTATACAATATCAAACCTGTTGTGTTTTCAGATGAATTGGGTTACAGGATTTCCCCAGGTGTATATATACGATTATTATTTTTCTTTAAAATTGTAAAGACTCCCATTGCTCAAAATCTGTAGCCTTAAATGAAAACAGGTTTTCATTTTCTCATTCCACCTCAAAGACATGTCCTCGTTTGTCATTGTCATGCAGTGCACAACAATAAGTTATGATTATGGTGAGAGATATATGGCTTGTGCAATATTGATTTTTCCCTTTCTTGTGATTTAACATAAAACAATGGCATTAAACAATTTTATAGTCCAGAATTGCTAGCCAAAAAAAAAAAAAGAGAGAGGAAAAGGAGTATTTCCATCATTTCAGGTTTATGCAGAGGCGATGGTGTAATGGTCTATTAGCAGCTGTTTGTTGCCAGCAGCAAATTGTGAAAACTCAGATGAATGGTGGATTTTATGTAATTCACAGTAAACAGTTAACATACTATTTATTATTACTGTTTACTATTTATAATATCAACATACATTAATAGATTTTATTTGACATTTGTGAAAATCAAAACCTTGAAAAACATAAGGGAGCCTGCGAGTCCATGCTAGAGCATGTTTGACGAAGGAGGGCGAGGCTTACAGATGGTGTCCACTCCGATACAAAATGCACATGGTTTGCAGATCTGGTAATATAATATAATCAGAGTAAATGCCACTGGATATTAGGGCAGTGTAATAACTTGTAAAAATTATTCAATCAGTATATTACACAAGCCTGGTGAGTGGGTTTAAAATTCATTAATGGGTTAATGGTGAGCGTTTCATGGCTGAATTGGTTAAACTAATGTCCTCATTTCAAGTTAACAGTTGCAGAACCTTTGGTAGTGGAGTGCCTAAATTGAGTCAGGGTCATTTTATGCCTTTATTTGAACTGTGAAAATTCTTCTGTGTATTCGGTCAAGCCATCATTGATTTATATATTTTTAATTCTCATCCACAGGTGATGTTGGCAGCCTCATATTGGTCCCTGCTTGCCCCTGCCATTGAAATGGCAGAAAAATCTGGGAAATATGGGGCTTTTGCATTCCTTCCTGTTGCTATTGGTTTTGTCCTGGGAGCAGCATTTGTTTATTTTGCTGATCTGATGATGCCGTTTCTGGTGAGTGGTTTATTTGTTCTTTTGATACAGAGGATTCTTTGGGCTAAGTCTTATTGAGCCTCCTGGTGTGCATCTGACATATGGGTGGAAAACGATTTTACTTTGACTTTTTTTTGTTTTATTTTTTTTTTCCTTTGGAAATTGGTTCAACATAATTCTATAAGTCCATTTCAGTTCCAGTTTGTAACACTACAAAATGCTGTGCTGAGAGCTTTAAGCAGGGATTGAACAGACAGGTTATCCATGCCCAAACTCTAGTATGGCAGATCACAAAGAGCACAGATGCTCACTGCCCACATGCTGAATGAAGACACACAAATATCACCCTAGTGAACCTACAATACTATTTCACATGTTGCATTCATGTTAATAAATAGTTTTATTATTCATTTATGTTCTTCATGTACTGAATTATACAGTTGTAATGAATGTGTGAGTTCTGAAAGTCCTTTAAAATCAATATGTAATGATAATTGATGAAAAGGTTACACATGTTCATTATATGTCCAAATTATTATAAATAAGCTTACCTTTCGAGATTTAAATGTATAAGTTTATTTATTTGTTTTTACATAATCCAATTTCTGACCGTGTTCAGTACAGTTGAGATTTCTGCAATGAGGATCATGCCAAAGATGTAGTCATGTTACATAAGTGTATGCAGCAATGACGGACAAACACACTACTAAACGATGCTTTCTATTTTATAAAACAGTAGCATTTCATACATTAATACATTTACAGCATTTGGCAGATACCCTTATTCAGAGCGACTTGCAATTATCTCTGAGCAGTTGAAGGTTAAAGGCCTTGCTCAAGAGTCCAGCAGTGGCAGCCTGGTGGTGCTGGGATTTGAACTCGTGACCAGAATCAAAAGTCCAACATCTTAACCACTGGGCTATCACTTTCCTAGCAGCTGAGACATCAGCTTCCAAGCAGGGTTGGCAAATATGGACATGTATACAGTGCTGTGAAAAAAGTATTTCCATTTCTGACACTTTAGTAAGAGATATACACAAAAAAAGGAAGAAATCAGCAAACAAAATCTAAGATAAAACAAATGCAACCTGAGTAAACAGAAAATCCAGTTTTTCAGTTATATTGTTTACTATTGAAACAAAACATTTATCCAATATCAACTGTGTGAAAATGTATTTGCAAAATGTATAGTTCTAATTTCCTAAATCTATGAAACTATTCATAATGGGGTTCAGCTGGACTAGACACAATAAGGCCTGATTACCGCAAACCCTGTTCAATCAAATCAACACTTAAATA